ATCACAAATGATTCAATGTAATATTTTTGAAATATTTCCGAAATGTGGTTGTGCTGTACCAATGGGATATCAGTAATTTTTAATACACCTCAAATGGTGCAGCATTTTTTTCTTTTAAGGCCAATGTCAACGCGTTGTCAATGACAAGTGACAGCGGTTTTTCTAAAAAAAATTTCCTGAAGTAATTAGGCAAAAATAAAATACTGTTTATAGCGGTTTATGTTTTAAATAGTATAAAGAATATTGAAAAGTCCATCATTTGTTTTACTTTTGATGATAATATTTAAATAATATATTACAAATATTTAAAAGTTATGGACTTTCCAATATTTTTTAAATTTGAAACCTAAAACACAAAATACAGTCTTTTATTTTTGCCTATAATTACTACAGGAAACGTTTGTTAGATTTAAAAATGACATTTGCAAACGTGCTAATTCCAGGGGTATGTCTAATTTGCGGATTGGAATTTGATCGCTGCCAGGTACTAAACGAGTAATAGTTAGGAGTTAATACTTCTGACAAGTAATATACATCTCAATACCTTTTTGCCAGGTGAAACCATTTTCACCCCCATCGCCTCCAAGGGGTACTTTACTCTTGTCCATTTTTACAAAATTAGTGCCAGGTACTAGAAAAAACGCGGTAAATTGCTGTGACTTCGAAAACATAATACACAACCCAATACCTTTTTGCCAGGTGAAACCATTTTCCCCCCATTGCCTCCAAGGGGTACTTTACTCTTGTCAATTTTGACAAAAACACGCTAGATTGCTTAAACTTCGTACATATAATGATAATGATAATAATTATATGTGCGAAGTTTAAGCAATCTAGCGTGTTTGTTCTAGTACCTGGCACTGATTTTGTCAAAATTGACAAGAGTAAAGTACCCCTTGGAGGCGATGGGGGGAAAAATGGTTTCACCTGACAAAAAGGTATTGTGATAATAATTATATGTGCGAAGTTTAAGCAATCTAGTGTGTTTTTCTAGTACCTGTCACTAATTTTGTCAAAATTGACAAGAGTAAAGTACGCCCTGGAGGCAATGGGGGGAAAAATGGTTTCACCTGGCAAAAAGGTATTGGTTTATGTATTATGTTTACGAAGTCACAGCAATTTACTGCGTTTTTACTAGTACCTGGCACTAATTTTGTCAAAATTGGCAAGAGTAAAGTACCCCTTGGAGGCGATCGGGGGGAAAATGGTTTCACCTGGCAAAAAGGTATTGTAATAAGAATTACGTGTGCAAATTGTTAGCTATCTAGCGTGTTTTTCCTAGTACCTGGCACTAATTTTGTCAAAATTGACAAGAGTAAAGTATCCCTTGGAGGCAATAAGGAAAAAAATTGTTTCACCTGGCAAAAAGGTATTGGTTTATGCATTATGTTTACGAAGTTACAGCAATTTACCGCGTTTTTTTCTAGTACCTGGTACTAATTTTGTCATAATTGACAAGAGTAAAGTACCCCTTGGAGCAGATGGGGGGAAAAATGGTTCCACCTGGCAAAAATGTATTGGGATAAGAAATATGTGTGCAAAGTTTTAGTTATCTAGCTTCTTTTTTCTAGTACCTGGCACTAATTTTGTCAAAATTGACAAGAGTAAAGTACCCGTTGGAAGGAATGGGGGTAAAATGGTTTCACCTGGCAAAAAGGTATTGTGATAATTATATGTGCGAAATTTAAGCAATCTAGCGTGTTTTTTATAGTACCTGGCACTAATTTTGTCAAAATTGACAGGAGTAAAGTACCCCTTGGAGGCAATGGGGGGAAATGGTTTCACCTGGCAAAAAGGTATTGGGTTATGTATTACATTTACAAAGTCACAGCAATTTACCGCGTTTTTTCTAGTACCTGGCACTAATTTTGTCAAAATTGACAAGAGTAAAGTACCCCTTGGAGGCGATGGGGGAAAAAATGGTTTCACCTGGAAAAAAGGTATTGGAATAATAATTACGTGTGCAAATTTTTAGCAATCTAGCGTGTTTTTTCTAGTACCTGGCACTAATTTTGTCAAAATTGACAAGAGTAAAGTACCCCTTGGAGTACGGCTGCCAGATTTTTAGAAATGAAACGCGGGAGGTTTTAATTTTTGAAGAAAAATACCTTTATTTTAATTAAATACTTACTAAATATATAAAGATATTATTGTAGCATCAAAAATAAAAACAAATTTCAATGCCCGATTATTAAAACATTTTCAATAAGTCAACATACAAGTACCTATTTTTATAAAAATTAACAATAGGTGGGGGTTCACACTTGAACTAAAACATATAATTCCAGCTCTGTGGGATTTTTTCTGTAAGTACAAAGAATACTGTTTGTGTTTACAGAATCATGCCACCTGGTATTCTGTAATATTGACCACTAACATTGGATGTCTGTTATATAAATCAAATATAAATATATAAAAAAAATACACATAAATTAACAAAAAAATGCTTACATTAAAATAGTTAAACTTCTCAAAAGAATATCAAATTCCTATTGTACCCAATTATTTATTCTAAAATTACAAATATTTTGAACTGTTTCCCACTTTTCCTTCCTTTTGCAAAATTTTTGCAAAATCTTGGCAAATTTCAGTATAATTAAATGTAATCATTAGTTCAGATTCGTTTCTATAGAAAGAGCTTTTCTATCTTTCCTCCAGGCTACAAACATTAGACTAAAAATACTCATCGCGTTTGAGTGAGGAAGAGAAAAAACATAAGAGCAAATTTTGAAAAAATTTGGAGATGTATGGCTCTAAAAATAATAAACCCATTGCTGGTCAATTATAATGTCTTTACAATATAGTGGTGGGTTTTCCAAATATGATGACAACTTTACAAATTCTTCTAAAAGTAGGTCAATATTTACACCAATTTAGGGATTGTTTTCAAATCTATCGCCCCCAGATATATAATAGATCGCGCTTGTAGAGATTACGATATGGGCGAAATGACCGATAATTTGATAGTATCGGTAGCATAATAATAATAATTTTTTAATATCTATTCAATGTAAATTCGACATAAATTAGGAGATTTCTGAAAAATCGGGAGGTTTAAAGCTTAGTTTAAAAAGCGGGAGGGAGTGTGAAAAATCGGGAGACTCCCGCCTAAATCGGGAGGTATGGCAGCCCTACCTTGGAGGGAATGGAAGGAAAAATGGTTTCACCTGGCAAAAAGGTATTGGGATAGGTATTATACCCTAATTCCAGACATAAGTTTTATTAAACTCATCGTGTTACGCATTTGCTGACATCATGAGATAGAAATTTAAAGTGACGTCTTGTATTCGAATAATGCGAAGTTTTCTGACCCAAAAAATCGTAAAAAAAGTTGAGTTGGGTCTTAATATATAAAATTCACCGGCCGACCATATACATTTCGCAATCGTTTATGCCTCCGGTACCTGAACAGCTATATCCGCTAACCTTATATCAAATGCCGACATGAGCGTAGTACAATGCCGACGTGAAATATATTTCATTAAAAATCATCGGTTTATCTTTCTCTAAACTTTGCAGGTCTTACGGCCGACTAAATATTGGTCAGGGTATGTATTACTCTTAACCGAATTTTTCATTGAAAAGCTGAAATGGAAAGTAACTTCCCAGATAGCACAGGACGTCCCATGGACGTCCTGATTTGGTCCCTTGTTGGTCCGGTTGGTCCCGGACCTAAATAGGACGTCCACTGAACTTCCGATTACAGTTAACACTAGGACGTCCTTAGAAGGACGTCCTCTGGACGTCCTATTTTGGTCCCGTTTCGACAAAGCGTTTAGTTTTCGGTCCGAGTCCGGGACGTTAATGGGACGTCTATGGGACTTTCTATGCACTAGCATCGTTGGTCTTTGAATCGATAACTTGAAATTCAACGTTTTGATTTTGCAAGAGTATGAGGACAGAAAACCTAACCTATCATTTATTTTCAAATGAACAACAATAGCTACAATTTTCGGCATTCAATAATTAACTTAAATAAGTGAGTTAGATTAACGAAGAAAAAAGAAGGTTATATAGTGTTATTTGTTATTTTTTTGATGCTGGTGGTAAAGTGGTTATAAAGTGAAGTGAGTGTTTTGTGTTGATGTGAGAATAAGTGATGTGTATTGTCGGTAGCCGCTGGCGGAAAGAAAATACCTTAATGGCGGAAAGTTGGAACAAAACTAATTTGGACAAAATTATAATACTCAGTTTTGTCGACACAAGCTATAAGTAGGACCCAAGGTTTCATCTTGCCAGCGCTGTGTGTTAAATTTAATTCATTCCTGTTTTTTTTTGTAAACTGAAAACGTTTAACTCTAGCTAGGTTTTTTAGGATAAAAGTTGTTAAATAAAGCTCTTTTATTGTTAACATTTTTGTTATTATTACCCTTTATGGATTATGGTCAAATATCGTCCCTCGGACGTCTGATTTACGTCCCTAGGACGTCCCGCAAAGGTCCCTATGACGTCCTTTTGGGATGTCCCTAAGGGACGTCCCTAAGATGGACAGAAACGGGACATTAGGACGTCCATGGGACGTCCGATTGACGTCCCGGTACCAAAATAGGACGTCCCTCGGACGTCCTTTATGTCCCTAAAGGACGTCTTTTAGACGTCCATAAGACGTCCGTGTGCTATGTGGGTTGTTATTTGGTGGTACATCCCTCTCCCTTCACAGAGATCTAGGGAGTTTCTAAGGATAATTCATAGGGAGATTATTATCTATAGTGGTCGACTTGGTAAATTCAAAATTACACGCCACTGGTACGCATATAATAGATAAAAAAATATGTATTGTGTTATCGGAACACAAATATTTGAATATATGTAATAATTTTCGTTTATATCTGTTTGTATTCATAAACATTTAACGCACCAGTGGGAAAGAAATTTGTCATTGTGTTCGTGTTGATTTATAATTTATTTTATTCAATATTAAGGTGACACTATAGTACAGGAGATAATGTCGTTTTTACGTAAGATTAGTTTTTTGGTATCGTGTACGAAATAAAACCCACCTTCCGATTTCCTCACACAAATCGTAAACGTCGTCAAACAACACCTCTTCCTCCGTCATTTTCCCCGTCTTCACGAAGTCGTTTACCGCCGCGAGAAATGAAAAAAACAATTGAATTAGAATGGGGTTAGCTAATGAAAATTTCAAACGAATCTCCCGCACTATGGATTGTCATTTGACAACACACGCACCACACCACAGGTCACTGCAACCGACTACGACGTGCAAAGTGGGTGAGGCTAAAAACGAAACGAAAATGCACCGGGATTTATGCAAGCAATCCGCTCGGTTGCGTGTTAAGTGTTGCCTAAAACCAGGCGTCAATTTACGATACGAATGTACTATGATACGCACAGTAACAGTAAACAGTAACCTCTAAAAATGGCCGCACCTATGGCACAAACGTCGTCGATGTGAAGCGTGAAGAATTTTTTTGCGGATGCACCCGCTCCAGGAGGGTGGTAGTAAATCGACGGTGTCGATGGCAGCTTCGCGTGAAGGCGGCTGTGGCGGTGGTTCGACCGCGACGCGTTAGTTTTGCCGAAAAACCGATGCGAACTGAGAACTGACAGTTCGACGGACGTAGATCGGGTATGGCGCGCCGGGCCCTCGCTGCTGGAAGCACACATGCGCTCACTGCGCGATTTTCAAAATTCGAGACAACCACCAAAGTCTTGAGGAGTTTTTTATTTCGGGTTGTTGTTTATTGTCGTTTTTAAGTTGGCTTAACTTTAACTATTTGTAATCACCCCCGAACCCCGAACGTTCCGCGTAATTGAGTTTTGTTCATTCAAATTACGTATGGGTTGTGTATTTATTTGCGATAAGAGCAATGAGTAATTTTTGCCGACACATTACCTACGTGTTTGTGTATGATGAGAATATTTAGAATTTAAGCTTTTCATCATTTTAAAGCAGGATACTGCCTATTTTAAAATGTGAATGAATAATAACCTACATTATTACGGCACAGAGAAGCAGAGTGTTGGGCCGCCTTTGCAATAAAATAATAATTTTGTGAAAAAATGCAATAAGTGCATAGGTAGTAAATATATATACCTATATTTTTAACTTGTTTTTGATCCATTACCAGGGAAATAAAAAAAATATCTGGAGAGATTGGAGATTTTAATTCAGTGGAAATTTTTCGACATTTATCATTTACATACCTATAGTGTGTGCCATAAAAGTTTGGATTCATGTGGATTTTTGTTTAATACTTATTAAGATTTGAATAAACGTCGTAGGGTAATCACCTGCTCTCACCTCTGCTTATTTAAAAACAACATAGCCCATAAAGTTATGACTACTGGGATTATTAGTTATCAAATTCGCATTTTTTTTTTAACAATCGTTCAAAAGTGGCATTTTTTTTCTGAAATATGAACAAGTTACCTATAAAAGTAATTTTAAAAATCCAAACTTCAATCATTCAGATGCCCTTAAAAATTGAGATTTTCTATTTTCTCATAGATCATCAAATTCTGACCAAATGCATACGGAACTATACCCCTTTCTAACAAAAAAAGAATCATAGAAATCGGACAATGTGGTAAAGAATTATCGCTGAACATACATAAAAAAAATAACCCGACGAATTGAGAATGAGAACCTCCTCCTTTTTTGAAATCTGTTGAAAAAGTTATCGAGAAATTTTTATAATAGGTATTTTGAACAAGATATTCCGACTAATTATGCTTAATTTTCTTGGAAATTGGAAAACCATCCAGTAAACTCCATTTGCTTATGCATACATTTTAATAATCGTAAAAATAACGCCGCAACCTCGAAAATTATTAACAAAAATTGGTGTGGAATGTGCTTTTCAATAAATGCTAAGTTGTTAGTTACGGGAGGTATCAAAAAATGTTATAAACTAAAATTTTATGAAAGTCGGGATATCTCGTTCAAAATCGGTTTGTTGGCGTAAAATGTTAGTATAGCAGGTGCAGAAGTTGGAAAGCCTTTGCCAGTTCTCCCACTTTATACACATAAATACGCTAGTTCGGTATGATGTCATTTTGGTTCCACAGGCATTTAATTCTAACCAAACTTTTAACAAAAACATCAATAAATTTGACATATACGTTTTTTGCCACGTTCCTTTAACACTTTTAACTCCAAACGACTCTTTTAGCGTTCGGTTTAGTCCGATTAGTGACAGTTTAACACGCTTAAATGTCATTTAAAAGCACCCTAAAATTTGTCCCGCTCCAGCCCCTGACTGACCGAACTCGCCTATTGTATAGGTCATAAAAAATAGTTTAAAGGTATATGTAATTGGTAACTATAAACGATTATATATTTGATGCATGTTATCTATACTTACTTTAGGAATATATTTATAAAAGTGAAAAAACGATATAATTTAGGTAAACAAAACGCACTCAAAAAATCTACTGTCACTTTAATTGTCAGTGGAACCATAATTACATCATCACATGATCATCATCACTGAACTAGCGTATTGACAGATTTACGGCAGATCTAATCGAAGTGGATGCGATACATTGGCGTACAAAATTATTTTATAGATGTTAATAACAATTTCGAGTAAATAATTTAATAAATTGTGAACATCTGTTGAAATTTTGTAGAATTATGATTTGGATATTATAATACATGTTTAATAATTATTTATAGTCCATATAAATACTTGCGATTATCCGGGTCCCCCGGTAACAATTTAAAATTACCTAGGTATATTCTATGAAACGACACTGACAGGTAAGCATAACTGCGAAATTCTCGAAGCCTTCCGACGGGTTTGACGTTTACCCCCTCTCTACCTACCAAAAGCCTTTCCAACTTCTGCCACTGCTATAGAAACAAGTTTCTCTAATAACTATTTTCATATTTAAAAAAAGCCGTTTAATTTTAACCGATTTTTCAAAAAAATGCGAATTTGACAAATAACTAATATCAACAGCCAACGTTGATATAAACTATTTTGTTTTAAAATAAGCCGAGGTTGACCTACGACGATTTTTATGGCACATACTGTATATAGAACAACAATTTTGGGTTAACTCTTGATTTCATTACATTTTTCACATATTATTATTGTTGTAGGTATAGATATATAAAAGAAAACTATAGAAGTTTTAGCTTAAATTTGAAATTTTATTTTTACATTTATATTATTCAATACACGTAACAATAATGTGTTGAACGGGATATTATAAATAAAAAATGTTCTTTGGTTATAAATCGGTCATAAACCAAGGGTGGCCCCAGGTCGAGTTTTCGGGGGGGAAGGGGGGCATTGCTAATAACAATTCCCTTTTTAGCATATATATTTTTTAATAGGCTAATTTTTTATAAAAAAATGTGGTCTTAGAGGGGACCATGTCCCCCCCCTTTTGGAGCCGCCATGGTAATAAACAAGTTATATATATATTATATTATGTGTATCCCCTATAGCTTGGATTGTCCGGGTTTTGGCCAACCCTACTGAGCTCTTCACTAATTAAAATGAATGTTGCCCTTTATTTTCAGGAATTTAAAGACTTACTACTGTATTGTTACAATAGGTTATTAGTATATTGGCTATATGACGCTATTGGTTAAAAATGAGTTCGGGTAATATTATAAGCAGATTCTTTTTTTATTTAATAGGTATATGGTATTACGTTGTTAATACGCTCAGTACATATTGTCAGTTGTGTTGTGTCCACAGTACATTGTGTGTTGTCAGTGTTTAACTTATAGTAAACCTGTAGTTGCAAATAAATTTCAAAATTGAAAGTTATGGAATTTACGAATATAGGAAATTTCTAAATACGAGATTGCTATTTATAACATGTATTTGAAGTTTTTACAAATGCTATAGTATATTATAGAATATTTGGTAAACAAAAAAAAAACAAAAAATATGAAAAAGAAAACTGCACGCCTTTTATGTACCGAAATAGGCAATTTACCAGATTAATAAATGAATTTAACCTTCATCAAATTAGTTTCATTAACAAAATTGACCCAGTATCCTATTATAAAGATCTATAATATTTATGTTTACAGGATGATTCATTATGAGTAGCGTTTGCCTATATATTTCTAGTTATATATCAATGAAAGTAGGTTGCTGATCTCACAATGTGACACAAAAGGTAGTAAAATGTACTGATAAGTGTGCATCATCGTTCTCACAATAGCTACATAGTAAATGATCCGGTTACATTGTGGGTGGGTGGGTGGCATCTGCAAATTTCACCATGATACTAGCGGACTAGAGCTCAACCATTTGAGATGTAAATATCGGTAAATGAATGAGCGAATGGGTATGGCAGTAGGACCTTCAAATGGTGGCACAATAAGCCTTGAGGGCTTAAGTGCCGCCAAGCTTCAAAGGGATTAGGGTGATAGCATGTGGTACCGAAGGGAGGGAAAAGATTACATAAGAATCTATAGAAAAAATCAAAGACTGCGAAATCAAATACCAAAAAGACAAACTAAATTATTCATCTGATATTAAAATTTATAACATCAGTCCTAAAAACAACTAAAATGCCTAATTGTTTTCCAAGTGGGTTTTTCTAACAATTTTATGTTATATTTATTTTAAACTGCATTTTTTAACATATTTACATAATATGGTATATTGTTCAATATATATAAAAAAATTCACAATAGTAATATTGATGTTTTATTATAGTTTTTGTTACACTAATGTTTGCACATACACATTGTATACTTACGACTGTCTTATGAAAACTAAACAATTTTTATACAAAAAATATAAAACAAATGCTTTTAGGCCGTCATATTTCGTTGCTAAATATATAATTAAAAAAAAATAGCAATTATATAAATAGTATCAATAAAACATACAAAAAAAAAGTCATATCTCAATCTTACTTTTTAGATTCATCTACTGTTTATAATCATTTAATTTTGAAAAACAGACAGCCCGACAATAAATGTTAATAAAAAAAATACACACATATCACATTAAGCTGAGCTTTCCGGTAACCATATTGACGTTTTCTTCCAGTCCAAACAGACTTAAAACTGTCACCGATCCTGGGGCTATTTGAGTGTGTCCTGCATCACTTACCAAGTAACAGGGAATGTTCTTCTCTTTGGCCTTCTCATACAGCTCGCGAAGATGCGTCTCGTCCACACCCTTAAGAACAATTTTCTTCTCCCTGGAAATCCAATAATAATCGGTGTCAAACCAAAGTTGCCAAAAACCCAAATTAATCAGTTTAAACTACTGATTGGTTAATTATTCACCACACGAATTTATTTTAAAAAAAAATCTGTTTTATAATCAAATAAGTACTATTATTGTTAATTTTACGAAAACTTTTATAAATAAAATTATATAAAGCAGTTTTTATTTTAAGTTCAGCTATCCTGTTCCCAAACCACCGCCCGTTATATATATATATACATGGTGTTATTGAAATACATGTACTTATTAAAATATATTAATCTTAAGGCTCTTCTAAAATGTGCAAAAAACATTTTTTTGAAAGAATACCTAATAACAGATTAATTAAATTTTGAATATTTGAAGACACAAGTGGATGAAGGGCCTATGTAGCAAAATAATTTTTATGAGATATTTCGTGTTAAAGTTTATTGTTTGGCAGTTATTCCCTAGTACATGGGTCCTCTATCCACTGACAACTTCTATATTCGATGATATATTGTAACGGAAGACATTTTAAACGAATTTTAGGTACACAAGGTCTTCATTCACAAAAAAAAAATTAAAAAAATGTTACATAGGCCCTTCAACCAATTGTGTCTTCATTTATGTTGTGTTAGGTCACCAACTCTGAATCAAAAAGTACAGTCATTCTCGATATTGCTAATTTCATTTGTTTTGTCAAATATTTGCCTAATTTTGACTACTTTAAGCCTTTTTCTAATGCAATAATAATCTAATAAATCAAAATCTTAATTGCCATCTTCAATCTATCAAGGCCATAAAGCACTCCTAGTAATACATAAACTAGACATACAAGGCTTAGTACTTACCCATAACATTCCCACGTCTCCAATTCCTCCCTTTTATCACCCATTATTTCTCGAAACAGCCCTAAACAAGCATGACCTACCTAAAAAATTACTAATTTTAGGAATTAAACGTTGACTCTCTGTACTAACTCCCTTACTTGTGCCGCTATTTTTCCAACGCCCATCTTCAGGGACGTATTTACGACGAAAGTCATTTTGTAAAATTCTACCTCTTCATCCTCCTCATCACCAGATTCAGATTGGTCAATTTTTGCTTCGACGTTTGCGAAGGCTTTCGGTTCTACAGCTTGGGATTCTTGGGAGCTAAATATATACTCGATTGCTTCGTCTAAAGAGGTGTTTCCAGTACAAAAAAGAGCCTAAAGACATAATTAAAATCAATAATTTTGTATATAACTATGTAAAAATTAAATTACCTGGACTGCTATCTCATGGTTGATTCCCATAGAAATCAATTGGTGGAGGAAATCCTCATTTGGAACAAACTGTTCACTCATATTTTCCATTCTTTTTTCCATTTTCCAAAACCGATGCATTCAGCAACACAGTTTGTTTAAAAAGGTTAAATTCTTCCATAAATGTCAACTTTGACAACTACTGCTGTCTTTTCCTATCACAGCGTTCAGCCAGTATGTATTAAACAAAATATGCCTTTTTTTTAATCTACATTTAAATTATTATTTATTTGACAATATTATTTAACATAAAAGTATTATATTTTATATTTGTAGCTTTTAAAAATTAGCATTTCCATCAAACAATGTTTGACTTGTTAGTCGCGAAAAACTGCTTTCTGTGACTGCTTTGTGTTTACTTTTACATGTAATTTTCTGTTATGTTTCTGTTGTTTGGTGCAACGAGAAATAAGGTTAGTTTATTTTTTAACATAGGGAAAGCTTGAATATTAAATTTAAAAATTGAATTCGATTTTTCTTTCAAGTTGTATGGTTTTAAAAGTTTTCCCAATGTATACCACCTGCTCTGTTTATGAATTTTAGAAATTATGTTCTAATATAATAATGTATTGTAGCTACCATATTTCATTTTGATGAAAACTTTTGAATTAAACGAATTTAAATTTATGTATCTTTGTTTAGGTGTGGATATGGAAATGACTAAAGATATTAAATTATAATGGAAAGTCACCATTAAAAAAGCAAAATCCAATTAATGTATGTTTGGTTGCCTATTTTTAGTGGTACATAATGAACAACACTTACTAGTAGATGTAGATCACTTCTTTTACAAGTGATAGTTGTTCAAAATGGAACTTAAAAAAATTCTGTATCTTGTAAATTTTTTGCTATTATCAATGGAAAACCGCGTTTTCTTAACTTTTCAATTTGTATAGATAACCACACATATTCGGATGAATTTCACTTTAAAATTTAGCAAATATACTATTGATGTTCATAAATAAAATTAAATATATATCTTCTAATCTCAGTCCTATTAAATGAAGAGAAACAAACTAAAAAAGAAGAAAGATGAATCGTCTCCAGCTAAAATCCAATTAAAATTAAAACGCCAAACAGATTCTTCCAATACCGACAATGAAAATGCGACAGACGATACGAAAAATTTGTTGAAGAAAAGAAAAAGACATCGCTCACCATCCAGTTCGTCTTCTTCCTCTTCATCATCTTCCAGTTCCGATAGTTTGAGTAGTAGTTCTAGTAGCGAATCGTCTTCGGAAAATGAAAGGTTTTCCAATAAGGGCAGCAAGACGAAAATGAAGAAAAAACGAAAAAAATCAACGTCTTCTTCGACTTCTAGTTCTAGCGATTCTTCAAGAGAAGATAGAGTGAAGAAAAAGAAGGTAACGAGAAATCAAAATGTACTTTTGAATCTTATTAGTTGCTGGTTCTGCTGTGAACTAATAGTAATGTTTTGGGAAAAAAATGTAACATTTCAAATTTACCATATGCCAAAGTCCATAAATATGAAGTAAATTTATGTAAAAAGTAGTTAAATGTACCACACATACAAATAGTTCAAATGTATCACCAACAATTTTTTTTAAATAAAGTTGTTCCGCTATATCTCACTTTTTTTAATAAACCAGTAATTTAAATGTGTCACATAAAAATAGATAAAATAAATAATTGTTCTTCTATCAATAAAGTTATTGCTGAAAAAAAAAACTACTAAAATAATTGTTTTTAAGTGGGGTTTCTAACAATTTATGTCCGTTACATTTGAACTCTTGCATTTTTAAAATTTTCACGTAGTACATTTGAACTACCGATTTAAATTTTTTTATTCGATTTATTTGAACTACTGATTTTAAAAGGTTTAATTAAATACTTATATAAAGCACCTATGGATGATAGATTTGAAATAATACCGATATAATTAAGCTTTTCATACCAGGGTACATTTGAACTACTGAATTTTAAATATTTTACATGTGGTACATATTAACTATTAGTTTTATTGATTTTTTATATGCATGGGTGGTACATTTGATCTACTGATATTATTTTTTTAATGTCAGTCGGATTCACTTGTAACTACTGTATGTTATAGAATTTAGAGTAAATTTTCAAATTAATTAAAATTAATCTTCAAAGCTTTCATTGTATGTAACTAGTCTGTTTTAATGTCGAGTGCACTTGAACGACTGCATTTTATAAATATTTATACGAACTTGATTTGATTTATATATTTTTAATGCATTAAAAATACATATCATTTTTTTTCTTACCTACCCTTTCATTTAAATATTTCTACATGGAGTAAACTTGAACTATTACATTTTGCATGTACAAACAAATTATCAATATAATTTTAAGTTTTGTATATGGGGTAAAACTACTCAGTATATTTTATATTTATTTCATTAAAAAAAAAACAGACAATGGTCGAGTTCCAACTATACTTATTATTTTAATGAATAGGTTCTTAAAAAGAAGAGACGTCGAAAAGATTCAACATCGTCATCATCCAGTACGAGCACTAGCAGTTCGTCTAGCGATGAAAAACGGAAAAAATCTCGAAAAAAAACACCCAAAAATAAAACGAAAGGAAAAGAAACGGATAACGAACCAACTATGGACATTCCTCTTAGTCTGATGGATAACCAAAGTAAATCAATGGTTCCGATGAGCAAAGAAGAGTGGGACAAGAAGCAATCGACGGTCAGACGGGTGTACGACGAGTCTACTGGTCGACACAGGTAGATTTATTATTATTGAAGATTTAGTAGGAAACTAATATTGTTTCTCGCTGCCCAGTTTGTTATTAGTTATCATTTTATGAACAAAATTTTGAGCAAAAATATAGAAGTAACTTATCATTCAGCTAATTTGTTGTTACCTATTGTAACAATTTTTTTATGATTTTCTGATTATTTTTAGATTAATTAAGGGCGATGGTGAGGTATTGGAAGAAATCGTCAGTAAAGATAGGCATAAGCAAATTAACAAGTCTGCTACCAAGGGAGACGGAGAGTATTTTCAAAATAAATTATCACAAAAAGTTAAAAAATAATTTTATACATCAACTATTTTTCATGTTGTGCTAGTTTGGTTTTTAATTCTTAAGGATATTCACATTAAAGTATTTGCAGAATTTACAGATTTTTGTTGCTTTTAATAAACCTCTCAACCCTGAGTAAATAAACCACCTCTCCTTGTTCTAATTTTAAGTTGCTTTATCAGTCAAATGTGGAATATGCTATCTAGTGGTTAGGTATACACAAGATACATAAAAAATATAAAGTGTGTATTAAGGTAAAAAAACATCGTACTTTAAAATAGAAATTATTTACTATAGTCAACAATTATAAATTAAAAAACAAAAACATATCGAAATGATTAACTGAAGATTCTAAATTTATCACATATTCTAAGTTTCATAAGTCTATAATAATTATATTACAATTGTATACCTGCCTTATAACTAAAAAAATAATTCAACCAAATGCCAATTACAAAATGTTATAATGATGTCAAGCAATTTAGTTAAGAGGCTGAATCCCAGTTAAATCTATTCTATATGACTGAAGGCGACTTATAGTCTCAATTTAAGAGTTTTTAAAAATAAAAACAATAATAGGTAACAAACAAATTTATTAATATTAAGTAGCAGTTTAATATTAATAACAATGCTCTGGCCAAATATCACTGAAACGATAAAAAGTTATTTGCATTTTTTGTTTTTATTTATTTAAATTTAATATGCTAAATCACAGTCACTTCATAGTGCCTTAAACTATCCAAGAAACAATCATTTTTAAATGAAGTACCATAAGGCTCTTTATTGTAAAAAATTATGTTGTGAGGACATCAGTCATATCAAATATCATTAGTTGATTATTAACCTTACTATTGGACCATTTGCCACCATTATACATACAGAGGCGATTTCACTCTAAACATCGCAAAGAAATATAAATAATGTCTAAAATAGTTGCATGAAATATGAAGTGGATCCGTCTCTCCAGGAAGGGTCATCGACTATTTTAGCCCTGCACAGGGGACAGGTTTGCTCCCTGTCAAACCAAGTGGTAACACAGTTTTCGCAAAAAATGTGCCTGCACTGTAACAGCACTGGAGATTCGTACTGATCGTGACAGATGGGACAATGGTCGCCCGCCGTTTGGATTTGGTCCTTGCTAGGCGACGAACCGATGCTCTGCAAAATACCATAAAAAAGCGTTTATTTAACATTATAAAGGATTCTGTTGCGATTGGTAGCACTCTTTCATATTTCTAGATCTAGCGATTTGGACCATGAGTTGATTTTGAGGGTATTAATTAATTATGAACTTACATTAATGGTGTAATACAAAACTGATAAATATCCAAACTATGGGGTATGTGGTAAAAATAATGTTATGTAAAAACCATATCCTGAGATATACTAATAAAGTTATCTCACCTGTATTGATAATAATTATTATTGAAACAACATTGTTTGGTTTGTTAAATAATCAATTTATATGTGTAAACAATGAGTCAATTTGTATAAGTTTTATTCCATAAACAATAATATAACTTTTTGTATAGGCACCTATATTTCTCTTTTAAATTTAATTTGATACATTTTACGATTTACTGTTTACATTTGAGTATTTTTTTAATGCATCTCATAAGGCGAGATGGAAAAGATGAGTAATTATGTTGCTTGGCAATTTGACGTAAATAAAAAACTTACCACGTTTTGTAATAGCTTCAGACAAGCGACTTTCAACAGCTTGACCCTAGACATCAGATCTGATCCCTTAGAAATCATGTAGAAAGCTGACAAAAATACAGCCACGATTTTTTCAGGACCTTGATATGATTCCAACAAGTAATACAACCAAGGTTGTATTGTCGCTATGCTTCTGTACATTTGAGAAACAGCTTCTATAAACAAGTATATCTTGCCCTAAAATAAAAATCAACTATAATTTTCTTCTCCAAAAAGAATATCGACAGTATCTTGCATAAAATACTTAATACAACAAAAAATATATGAAATAATTTTTTAACAGGAAACCAAAATTGAGTATTGTTTTTCCGTGGAAATGCGCAACTTTAAAGTCCTTAAAAATATATTTAGAGGTCTTATTATTTAATAATTTATCATTTTTTGGAATTAATACTAATGTAGTGAATCATTCGTACTAAAAATTGTATCTGGAATCTCGTGTTAAATATTTATTTGATAGAGTACCTAATATCTATCCGCGGAAACGTGCGACTTTAAAGACCTAACAACTATACTAGAAGTCTCGCTATTTAATAATTTATTCGATTTTGGATTTATACTAATGTAATAATAATAATAATAGCCTTTACTGTCCAACATATATAAATCCATTAACAGAGCAAACCAAAAAAGCATTAAAAATATAGAAAAGGTAACAAATATACATGAATATTATGAAAAACAGTCAATACAAAATAAACAAACATTAAGGATAAAAAAAGAGAAATTTTTAAGCATTGTCATGATTGGTACAAGCAACTGCTTTAATACTTTCCAAAATATCTGTAAAGATATCTGATGAATTACAATATAAGTTAAAGTTATTACACATGACATTGAAAGGTGAGCTAATAGAATATTTTTTGTTTTAGATCTGTTACAATAAAAAGTTAAATGATGTCTGTTAATATACCGGGGAACATTTAAATTAATTTTAGCTAAAAATAACAGGACAGTCAATTAATCCATTCGTGATTTTGTAAAAAGAAGTCAAAGAAGCTAGAATTTTTCGAAATTCAAGGATATCCATGTTAAAACTATCCAAAAGTAACTGATAATTGATTCCTTTTGGAGGGTAGACACCATTTACTTTGAAAGCTAAAAATTTCAAAAACTTCCTTTGAACAAATTTAACACTAATGTGAATATTATAGTAGGTATATCATATAGTTAAACAGTACTCAAGCTTATTGTGGATGTATGAATAGTATAATGCTTTTGATGCTCCAATGTCCCTGAATCCACGACAGTTTCGTGTAACAAAACCATACAATGGGGTGGGTGACTCAGTGGTAGAGTCTCTGCCTGTGGATCCAAGGGTCCCAGGTTCGAATCCCACCGTTGGCCAGGATTTTTTTAATTTAATTTAATTATTTAAAATTAATTCTGATGCCTTGGTAGAATTCTCCACTCGACCATTCTCTGTTGGGTTCTAATTACCAGTGCTGTTCCTAAAGTGGCGCTGGGAAACAGTAACAAAGCCTGCACAGAACACGAGGCTAATGGCCTTAGTAGTCGAAGCCGATGACACCAAATTAAAAAAAAAACATACATATTAATATGCTCAACAAAACTTTGTATTGAGTCAAAAGTGACATCCAGATCGGTGATTGAGGAAAAACGTGACAAAATTAAACCATTAATATAATAGAAATATGTAGTAGATTTTTTTCTGGTGTATACCATCACTTTACACTTAGATAGTACTAATAGATATTGTTATCCTGTGGCTGTTATAGGAAACGTACAAATACAAAAAGTAAAGCAATGTCACCCATCGCAAGAAGATAGAATAGTCTGGAAATGACATTCCTTATCAAGAAAAATCTGGACAGTTCAAGCTATATAAGTCGATGATCCTGACGTCAGTTTTATGATAGACGTTATATGTAAATGTTATCAGTTGTATTGTAAAAGTTAAGTTGAAATAAATTGAGATACCAAAAACCTGCGTAACAATATATTTTAAAATCGTCTGCATAAGTAAGTCTACAAGAATTTAAATGGTGTTCGAGACCATTAATAAATAACAAAAATAGCAACCATGTAATGAATAATTCGTATTGAAAATTGTATTTGGAATTTTGTGATAAATATTGGTTTTTGTTATTTTTATAGACTAATGTATATCTGAAAAACCACGAAATTTTAAAGTTCTAAAAAATATTTTAAAGGTCTTAGTATTTAATGAGTTATTATTTTTTTGATTGACACTAATGTACTGAATAATTGTACAAAAATTGTATTTGGAATATCATGCTAAATTTATTTATTTTTATCCAAACAGGCCAACGGCCTTATTACATGGATAAAAGTATCATAATACATAAATATTAATAATAAACAGTAGGTAATTACAACTAATATTACAACTTATTTAGTATTAAAATTAATTAAGAGTAATGTAATAATTAATCAAGAGTAATGTAATAATTAAATACAAGTTTTCGGAACATATTAAACGGTATTGTGCAGTCTACTGGGTCTTCAACAATACCGAAAACCCACGTGACCAAATCGTCATGATAGCGATTGGTGAAAATAAAAGTAAAAATCCCTAGATGTGAGCCAGTGCCGTAGGTATTTTATTACAAAATAGATCTTTTTCTTTTTTATGGACTGCAACTACGAGAACAAAATTCAGTTAGGTAACTGTTGGAATTATAACTCAAAATCATAATATTAATTAGAGGTGCTTTACATTATTGTATTTTAATGTTAGAATTTGATATTTTAATTAGATTTATTCAAATGCAATAATTTAAAATTGATATAATTAACATAACCTTAAAAACTGAGCTGTTATATCTAGTTTATATTATTGTATTTAACGAAAAGAATAATAAACCTAAAATATGCGTACTAGTTATTGCCACTATTGCAAAAAAAAACCTTTACCAGAAAGTTATGGACAAAAAATGTATTGCATTAAATTATGAATAAAATTAAAAATTTACTTTAGATTGACTCTAAGATATTTAGCTACAGCTGAAACTTTAAATAAGATAGGCAGAAGACAATGGCAGTATTTGGCAATTATTGCAGTTTAAGTTAACAAATTTAAAACTTACTGGAATTCTACCTGAGCAATGGGAAGTAATAAACAAATAATTTAAGTTTGTTCTATTATTTATTTGTTACAGGGTTTAAACCATTTACAAAATACATTGTTACTTATTTGTATACAAAAAAATATTAATATTATTAATGTAACAAGCACATATTTGTTTTACCTTACAGCTCTCACTTCTCACTTTAAATTATAAAGGCATACGAACAACTATTTTATTTAAAAGGATATTGAGTAGTAATCGGTGGTGCACAAACGATACTAATTCACAGTACCTATCTGTTCAAAACCTTTACCACCAGCTTTAATACAAGCATCAATCGTTCTTTTTTGAAAACATTATGCAGTTTCTCCTCAGTTATATTTTGTATTTCATTTAATATAGGTGCTCCAGTTCATAAACGTCACACAAACGATTTTGAATTGAGCGATCTGTAATATTCCATAGGTAGGTTTAACAAAATTAAGGTAAAATGATTGTTGCAGTACCGAAACTTTATAGGGGAGATTCATTATCAGAAATGTTTTCAATACTTTTTGGCTAGTTCGTAGCGACAAACCTAAAAAAGATATGTTTTGAATTTCACTTATCAGAGTCAGTCTTTGAAACACCGCTCATACCTGTTTGAAGTGCTGTTTTTATTTTACTAACTTATTGGGAATTTGCACCATGTTAATTTGCGCATCTTCAACAGCTTTTGTTATTACTTTGGGCCTTTTGGAGCTTTTTCCATTTATATAATTTTGAACAAATATTTGTTTATGACGACAAAAAAGAATCACATTCCATTTATTCACTGGAAAACGTTCCTCAAATTTTGGAATACAATTACGAACATAAAATAATTTTGTTCCAGTGTAACATTACCTGAAATAAATTATATACAGTCATTAACTTTTACGAGTTACAGTAAATAAATTTGTACTTACCAACAAAAAATAATTAAGCCACCAATAATCTCTAAAAATAACTAATTGCTCCATTAATATTAAATGAAAAATGGAATAAAGGTGTTTATAAAATGTAAACAAATATAATAAAAATATTCTGTCCCCAAATGAACGCCAGTGACATTTCTGACAGTTCAGTTTAGTTCCATTTACGTCAACTCAGGCCCTTTCGATGGGTTTTTGATGGTTATCAGATCACGTGGGTTTCGGGTATTGTTGAAGACCTGGTACATCAATACAAGTGTTAATATTATTTGCCAATAGGAGCATGGTCACAAGAGGTGACCAGGGGGTCAATTCTCGACTTTTATTCCCATGGGAAAATAAAATTTTCCCATGGGAATTCAGTTTTCGTATTCTCGACATAAGCGGTGGAATATTTTCCAATGAGAAGTATGGGAAAATATTCCTCTGCTTACGAGCATTGGAAATTGTGTTTTCCAATGGGAATTGTACATTAAAGTCGAAAATTTGACGAAAGACGACGCGAAAGTCTAAGACATAACCAAAAATTATTGGATATCTTGGATTTTTAGTGAAATTGTAGTTAAATCATTTTTTTGGCGTATTTATAGATTGATATTATTTTATTTATGTAGGTATATTATTTTTAATTCTCTTTCACTAAGAAACTGTATAAACTTATTTTCCTAAATCATTTAGAAATTGTGGGAGCTGCTAAGGGACTGGCAAATAACACAAATTGAGTGTAGTAAATTTAATAAGACCTTTTCGAACATTTTATTATTTTCGTTAATGAAAGAATTTCTTAGTTTCTCAAAACTTTCGTTGCTCTTCCATAAAGCTACCTTTTCTTTTTTAAAAATAACTCGATAAGTTTTAATTATACATAATCGAATATTTTCACTTGTCCTCGGTCATGCGAGCGATTGCTCGGCACGGCATCTGCTCCAGCGCAGAGGCTCGGCAGGTAATCGGTTACCCAAAAACCACAACAAATACAAATAATGCCAACAGTAAATTTTAAAATATCTTTAATGTTATTGGTTGTTTCGAAATATTCGTGAACTTAATATCAGACATACGTGAAACTACTATTTCCATGGGAATGTCTATTCTGACACGTTCGAGAATTGCATAACCTATTACCATGGGAATATAAGTAGTGGAATCTTTTCCCATGGGAAAATTTTCC